ATACTCCATGAGCAAAGAAGCTCTGATAACCTGACCAGCAAAACTGGAACAAGTGTATCTTATTGCCAAGCTGCCAGACATTTTGTGGTCACAGCCACGAAACTTAGCCTATTTATTTTTGGTCACTGCTGCTGCTGAAAAGACTAAAGGCAAAGGTCATCACAGAAAGACTCTCAAGTACATGATATCCACTATTCTCTGTCCTTCTGGTGGAATATTCTCTGTCTTTCTGGTGTTGAAAGGTAAATGTACATACATGAGAGGCCATGTGGTCATTCTTCAGATTGTTAGCCAACATGGTTCTGCTTCTAAAGAGAGTATTCGCGTTAATCTAGGGAATGATAAGAGCAGCAGAACAGACATTTTGAGACACCCAGGGCCATGCTAATGCTGTAGGAGTACCTGTGCTGACAATCCAGTTGGCTGGAGAAGCACCTAAAGGGTCCCAAGAGAGTTCAGACAATCACATAGGCTGTATCCAAAAATCAATAACCATGATGGAGTGAAGAAAAAAAAAAACCAGAATGTTGTTATTTGTCTTGTTACCTTTGCCTGCTGAGTATCCAGGATGAATAGGTAGAACTGGTGTCAAAAAGCCAACGTACACCTGCATTTTAGCCTCCTCAATCTCGAACCCCTGCCAAACTGCTTTGGGAACCAACCTCTGTCCCAAAGTCTGGTAAAAGAGGATGGAACCAACAGCGGTGTCCAATGATATAAGGATCAAACACGCACAGGAATGACAGGAAGGCACCCTAGGACGTTTCAGGAAGTACCTCTAGATATTGTTCTCTCCATCACCTACTGTCACTCACCTCAAGCATAAAGACATTCAGAATACTGGTCAACAGATGAAAAATGAGGCATTTCTTCACAGAAAGGGTCGTTAGGCATTGGAATGGGCTGCCCAGGGAGGTGGTGGAGTCACCATCCCTGGAGGGGTTTAAGAAAAGACTGGACACGGCACTTAGTGCTATGGTCTAGCTGACATGGTGGTGTTAGGGCAAAGGTTGGACTCGATGATCCCAGAGGTCTCTTCCAACCAAATCGATTCTGTGATTCTATGACTTAGAATCATAGAATCATTATGGTTGGAAGAGACCTCAAAGATCATCAAGTCCAACCGTATACCTGATGCGACCCTGTCCACTAAACCATGTCTTGAAGTGCCACATCTAAACGTTTTTTGAACATCTCCAGGGACGATGACTCCACCACCTCCCTGGGGAGCCCGTTCCAATGCCTAACGACTCTAACAGTGAAGAAGTTCTTTCTAATGTCCAGCCTGAACCTCCCCTGGCGCAACTTGAGACTTCTGCATGTTTAATGCAAAGCAGAATCGTCATAGTGTCAGTAGTTTAAATTAATTAAGTACACAACAGACAGAGCAGTAGAGATCTTGGATGCAAAGCCTGTCATCTTACTGGAAGGTCGAAAAGAACTAAGGCACAACAACAATCACAGCACAGGAAGATCATAATGGCAGGGCTATACTGAGAAGCACTGGAAAGTGTATATATTTCCCAAATAATAGACAAACCTCAAGGATCTTTAATGAACTGAACTTGCCAACAAAAAAAAAAGTAATGAAGCATTCCTGGTTTCATCCCATACCATGAATGGGGAGAAAAGGTCACGCCAGTGCACTGAGATCCTTGCCACCAAAAGAAAACAGCAGGCGTGACAGTTGGAAACCTACTGAATGTCTGAAAGAACGTGAGCTTGCAGGAGTGACAGACATACTCCCTGAAGTGGTTTCTGTGTGGAGAGTCACATTTTGATAACAGCAGCTCTGTGTTTATACAGGCCTTAATAGATGAGCTAACTTAGAATCATTTGCACACAATACAAATCACAGTCCTCTTAAGTAGTATGGATGTTATCAATAAAGATCCACAATAAAATACTGAATTTTTTCCAAGTACCTGACCTTACCCAAATCAAATTCAGTGAGCTGTACATACAGTGTTATGTTTCATAAAGCATTATGCAAAACAGATAGGTTTAATTCCAAGCAACTTTGTCATCGCACATTTTAATTCTTATTTAAAGAAAGAGTAATTCTCAAGGGCTTGTTAACATTAAAACATAATGGCTTGAGATTAGAGAGCTTTTATGCAGAATTTGGTACCTCTTTTTGCTAAGCAGAAGACTGTATTTTACATATTTATGTAACTAAATGGCTTAATTTTAAATCAGACTCTTCGCTTCCATGTTGTTAAAATAGTGACTGACATCTCCCATTTACTTGATGATACTTTTTATTCGGATTTGCCAGGCTGTATGGTTGGAAATTGTAATTCAACTAAACTTATACAGAAGTTGTATTTTAAAATAATTATGAGGTGTCATTCAACTAAAATAAGAAAATTTTGATTTAAACACAAACCAGTTTTGACTATGCATTTGTGTTCCATGAACAGAAGCAAAAGCTTCTAATTAATAATCTTTCATTATAACTACTAAATTTCATCTTCTGAATTTCTACTTGAAGAAGAAATTAATTTCTTCTGTTTTCTGAAGTCCCAGTATCCAACTTCAGTTGAAGTACTAAATGAACAGGATTAGATTAAGAAACTAGAACAAGAGAATATTTCTTTTGTGTGTCTAGAGGTAGCTAATCCTGAGACAAAGAGAGTTAGAAAATCAAGTTCCAGTGCCAAATGTTTAGCTGGTAACTTTATTTCAGCTTAGCGTTTTCTCTTCTATTTGTTCTCTTTTAAAGATGATCTGCAAACTACCTGAATTTTACATACAAGTGTAGGATTTAACATATATCATCAATTACAACCTTTGAAACTATGAAGTTTATTTGATTTAAGAAAAAATACATTCAGGTAAAACCTTAATTTTAATTAGAGTGAATTTTCCTCCACATAGTAACTGGCAATTTGGCAACTTTCTACGCAGTCCAGAAAAATATTAAAATCTTACCATTCTTGAACTCCAATGCTACTGTATTACTTCGGTTTCCTAATTAAACCTCTAATTGGTTAAGAAAACCTGGAAGTTTCAGTCACATGATTATCAGAGAAGGATACTAACTACATCGCTTTTAAAAAGTTCGTAATATAAGGGAAACAGTTCACAGACTTAAAATAGTAAGTAGCATAATTCTATGCATTCAAATCATCTTGCTTTTGTCCTTTACTACAATCCAAGGTTGAAGGGGTATTGTTGGTTTATTTTTTCCTAATATTCTGATATTTTAAAAAGCACTATAAATTTAAAGTAATTTTCTATGCTAAATGGACCCTTGCACAACATCACATGGTATCAATCTCAGAAGAATTGCAAAAAAATTACAAGCCAGAAATACATTTCTGGCACTGTCATCCACACACTAGCTAGTTTGGAACACCACTAACCGTGTCTGAGCAACATGCTATCAATAAAAGACTTCAACCACAACAAGAAGTTCAACTTTGGATGTCTTCAGGAGAGAAGGATAAAAAGATTCAGCTACTTTTCAAACACATTGGAGAACAACTAGTTTGATTTTACTAAACATCACAGTTACCATAGGTCTTACGAAACTAGAAGCTTTACTCAGACATATAGTGTCAGAAAACAAGAAAAATCAAAAGTTGCTGCTTTAAGATTTCAAATCTTTTTTAGGATTAGGGATTAGCAATGTCATATGTGGACATGCATAGTAGGAGAGCTTAAAACCTCATCTTCAGCCAAACTTTCCATACATGAATCAACAAAGCTTCATTGAAAGTCCTGGAAAATCCAAGGACCTTTTGACAGGAAATAAGTCCTACAGACAGAAAGATAATTTATTCCAGTTTATCAGTTCCTCTCCTTCCTCCACTACTGATTTGAGCCACTAAACAGAGGGAATTCACTGGCAGGCAAAGACCGAAAGCTCACCAGCAAAGTTCTTTGCTGCAGAGGTCACCAAGGAGAGATGTTTAGCCGTAACTAAAGGAGAAAAGATAAAAGAAAAAAACCTACACCATTTTACTCCCATCCTCTTTATTGTAAACAATGTATTGTAAACAATGGAACAACAAAAAAAAAAAAAAAAAATGCACTTTTTACCTAGCTTACTGTGAATTAAAAACATTTTTTAAAACCTTTCATCACTAGCTCAATCTCATTAACATGGGTGATAAACAAACCTGTTTTAAATATTTTTCCTAAGAAACATAATACAAAGATAACAGTTGTCACTTTTGCTTTTCCAGGCGATTTTGTAAATGCTGCATGGGCCTCCCTCACAAATGAGTCCTCACACACATCATTACCATTTCTGAAAATCATCCACAGCCACATTCATTACATTGTCATCCACTGGCAAATTTAATAAATCCCACTGAAATTTATTGCCGAGTTAAAAAGTTTTTGAAAGAAACCACAGACACTTAAGCCTACTGTCCCAGTTAAACACTGTTTAATTCCATTATGTTCAGCTTCTGTAAGTTCACTGCCTCAAATACAGAGATAAGGATCGTGCCTACTCCCTTAGATTAATTCTGTATCCACACTATGAATGTTTCATCAAAAAACATACTTCATCAGAAAGCTTGTGGTAGATTCAGTCTGAACTACCATACACTCTTCTTTTGTGAATTTACTTTTCAACCTCAACTCCTCTCAATCTCTTCGTTAATAGCACTTATGAAATCTACTAATGTTTTAATAATACTTTTTTTTAAAGTCCATAAGCAAATTAAGCCCTCTGATCATATTCTTAATATTTACAGAGGAAATAGAGCTTTAGGCTTGAGGCAGTCAATCTACAGATGGAAAACATTAAAGGAAGTTTTATTTTAGATACTACACATCAAGGTCAGAACACTAATATTTAAAACCAGTAACACTGTATATGTGATTGATTACCATCAACGAGCTACCTCATGTATACACAGAATTCCCGAACTTCTGTGCTCTCCATTACTTCTCAAATTAACTATATTTCAATACAAAGTCACGTTATTTGATTGTAGGACAGAAGAAAGTGCAAATATCTCTATGCTTTTTAAAAAGCGTACCTTGATCAGAAAGAAAATCCAGCATAGTCTGGAGAAGGAAAGACAGATGCCTGACGCATAGAGCAGGATTGCCCATTCTTCTAGAAGCATATACTAGTTCATGAAGCAGACGCATCTGTACCGCAGCCCATCCTCTATGAGTTCCTATAAAAGTAAGCAATCATTTAATACTTTTCAAAGCTAGAAGTCATCATGAACCAGTTGGTTTTGGTTTTCTTTATATACTAAATAGTAATTTAATGACACTTACAAAAATCACGCAATGGAACCAATAATTACAAAATCCAAATCTTGTACTCAAAACAAAAGAAAAATTGGGATCTTTGAGTTTGCTTGAATATTTAAATGTGAAAGCAATTTTTCTTTTATATGCTTATCAACTAAATAAATTTATCATTAGAATTGATAAAATGAAGTTAATACTTCCCAAGAAGTAAAAACAAAACAATACACTCAAAAATAAAATATGACCTTTTTTGTACTGGGAAGTGTATGATCAAAACCAAAAACATTTTTGAAAAAGAGTAAAAATGAAGGCCTCAAAATGTGATTATTTGCTGCAAACAGAAGAATACAGCAACATATTCAGCATGGCTCACAGAAATTTGAAATTATTGAAAGCAACACTAAGAAAAAGTGAAGGTACATTGTTAAAGAACTGCTCTATTTGCTGCAATTAGTTTCAGAGAGGTAAATGATTTTGGTTTAATTTCAAAGCTGTCAAGGAAACCAGTTATACAAAGCCAGTGGAGTGACCTACTATGCTAATCCATACTTTCCCAGAGACACTTACCTTTGCTGAAATCTTTAGGATCCAATGATAAGCTATAGCCAGGGAGAGTTTCCAAAAGCAATTTGTAGCAGGCCCTCCACCCAGGTTCTGGGATGCTAGGGGCAGCGCACTGCATTGCTGCGATACGCTTGAAAAAAGCAGACTTTCGGTGAAAACCAATACGTTCATAAAGCTCAGACAGAATGCTGTAACGCTGGATTTTTTCTTCTTCTGAAAGCTGAAATTTAAAGGGAAAAAGAGAAAAGGATTGGTTTTAATCAAAATTTTAAGACATATACCTGAGTTCAAAAAATAACAGAAAGAAAAAAAATATGTAGTAGACATATCGCCAACACTACAGAAGGCCAGTGATTTTGCATATAGCCAGTCATGACAGCTTCTACTGCCAGGAAAACTTGAGCTAGCTTCAAGTTTAAAGGCTAATAAAATCAGCAAAGACAGAGCTCTTTAGCAACTTTCCTTGTCGGTAGTACTAACAAGTGAAATAGTCAAAACAGCCACTGCTAAACAGCTCCGCATTTTATGGAAGACATTTAACATGATATTCATGTGCATAATAAAAATGCAAAAATAAACCACTTCCAAAATCTATCAATTTAACAAGTTAAATATTATCATCCCTTTAAGATTAAATCTAATTATTAATCTTGAAATGTCAGGCTATGAAAGCGAAGAAAGTACTGTCACAATTTTTATGTCTCTGATTTTGTAAACCACATAATTTTCATTCCATGATACTACACATACAGACTTGCCAACTAGTGAGGAAGACATTAGTAAAAGGTTGAGCCCCGTTAGGCTTAAAGTTGAAACAAGCTTGATGAGTAAATACCAACATGTGCTTCTTTAGCTTATCAATATATTGGCACAAGTCCCAAGTAACCATTCTTTTCTCCTCTGGTTTGAATGCCAATCTTGCTTTGAAATCAGACAGCCAAGAAGAAACTACCACAGAAACTCTGGAAGCTACCAACTACTTCAAGTCTACATCCCAGTAACAAGCAACATTGAGTTCTGAAGGTGGACCAATGCTGACACCTAGTGCACAATATCTGGCCTGCACAACCAAAAAGCAATACAAAATATTTTAAATTACTCTAAAGCTGCTAACACATTTTGCAAAGGCGTCTAGTGTTATTTTTGTATGATGTTTGTCATTTTAAAGGACAGAAACAGCCTTTCTGCGACTCATTCTTCAAAACTGAAAGTATCAATCAGTGGATTCTGTGCATTTAACTTCAGATACTTAAAGCCTTGGAAAGTCAAAAGAAGATGCTAGCCACACTGGTTAACTTTTACAGAAATAATTAGGTCTTATAAATGAAGCTTCAAAACATCTTTCAGTCACTTAAATCCTAATATAATTACAAAAAAATAATCTATTTTCAAATGTCACTTCTAATTTTGGACTTACGGATATGAAAGACCTCAAAGAAGCCTCGAGTCTTCAAAAGGCACCATGACCTTATCTTATAGTTCAAATCTTAGTACTTCAGGATATGAAGAGACACAGACAGACAGACTAGCAAATCATTTTAGAAAGTCTGAGACAATTTTTGAAGCTGAAGTTGCTATTTCCCTCAGAACTGATAACACAAGATGATGCCTGATGCAAAAATACCACCCATCCATATAAAAAACCAATCCCTGTAACAAGAGCTGTAAAAGGGCAATTGCACCAAGCTGAAAACTTTCATGAATCAATGCAGCTGGAAAGAACATGAGGCACAAAAAGAAAATACAGAACAATTTTAAACCAGTTTATCAGAATCCCCAAAAGTTAACATTCAGAAAGAACATGAGGTGTCTGATTAAGGTTACCTATTCTAGCAGAAAAAAAGGGCTGTCTGGGGCAAGCTTTGATCAGGGCACGTGTTGCATGCTCACTAGCTGCCAATTTTCATGCTTGTGTTTCATTAGGTAATACTTATCACCTATTTAAATGATTTATATACTCTGCCGTTCACTAAGTCTTATTTTCTTCCTCCGATATAAAGTGAAAGTTCCAACAACAGTGGTGTCAGGGAGGAGAACATGTGAGTCTCACAATGACAGTAATTCCTTCCATAAGAAAAACAACATAACAACAACATTGGCATTTGCAGGCCACAAGAACAACAGCGCAAGAAAAAGGGAAAAAATACTGCCACAGCAGCTTACATGAAAGGCTACAGAGCTGCCAGCGAAAGACAGATGTCCTGGTTTTGGCTGGGATAGAGTTAATTTTCCACTCAGTAGCTAGTACAGTGTATTTTGGAATAATGTTGATAACACACTGATGTTTTAGCTGTTGCTAAGTAGCACTTAAGGATTTTTCAGTTTCCCTTGCTGTGCCAGCAAGGAGGTGCACCAGAAGCTGGAAGGAAGCCCAGCCAGGACAGCTGACCCCAACCAGCCAAAGGGATATTCCATACCACAGAACATCATGCCCAGTATATAAACTGGGGGAGCTGGCCGGGACAGGCTGATCACTGCTTGGGGATCGCTGCTCAGGCATCGGTCAGTGGGTGGTGAGCAATTGCGTTGTGCCTCCCTTGTTTTTCTTGGGGTTTTTTTGTTTGTTATATTTCTTTTTATTGCTGTTATTATTATATTCTATTATTAGTAGTAATATATTTTAGTTTACTTTAGTTATTAAACTGTTCTTATCTTAACCCATTGGTTTTACTTTTTTCCCAATTCTCTCCCTCATCCCACTGGGAGGGGGAAGGAGTGAGCAAGCAGCTGCGTGGTGTTTAGCTGCCAGCAGGGGTTAAACGATGACAACAGACTACAGAATTAAAGAGAAGGCCCTTAGCACGGCAAGGATTATGGCAGTTAAGATACTCCACAACAAAACTGATGATTTTCATGATGGCTTATCAATTAATTAATTTCTCATTCATGTTGGGTTAGAAAACTGACTCCACAGAAAGGATTCTCCACAAATGAAAGCGTTCTACCTCCCTCATAAATTTGCTGTCCCCATCTGGGCTTAATAAGCTCAATGGTATGGACTTAAACTGCTAGTCTTGCCAAGATGTAATGAGCGAAAAAAGAAAACAGTAAGAAACCTAACAGCTTTTTATGAATTTTTCCAACCACAGTCCTCTGTCTGTAACCAGTGACACCACGCTTAAGACAATGATAAAGTGTTGGTCTTGTTCTGTGGTGGTACTGGGCAGTTTTCTCACAGTTCCAAATACTGATTTTCTCCTCTGAATTCCTCTGTGATTTGGCCTAACCAAGACTTCACACTACACAACAAAAATTCAGTTGATTAACAACACTAGTCAGACCCTTAAGCTCACTTTGCAATGGACCATTCCTGATTTGCTCACAGTTTCATTGAGCGAGATACAATCAAGAAAAAAAAATCCATTGCAGATCTGTCCCAAGCAGCTATTTTTCCCTAGTACAACATCACAATAGAACAATGGGATTATTTTTTTTCTTCACAAGGAAGAAAAACCAATACACTCTTTAATCTCAAACTAAGTCCTCATGTTTTCAGATGAACTCTGAATAACTTTTAAAGCAGACTTACAGATGTGAAAATCCTCAGAAGTCAAGTCCTAGTGAGAAGGAAGGTAGTGATACAGAAAATGAATTGGAGTCTCCCAAATCTTAAGTAACGCTCACACTTCAGTATACTCTCTGAGAAAAATAACTGGACTTTCTGCACCGACCTGACGAAGGTTGATATAAACTGCATTCTGAAGAAACTCAGAGGCTTCCATGCTCCTTTTCTGTATTGCAAGGACTCTCACTGCCTTCACGCAGGCTTCCAGTTCAATCACACCAGCATTCTTGTACTTGAAGAGGGAGAAAATTAAAATAATATAGAAGTATTGCATCTGTTAAATTTGTAAGTATTTCTGCTCAACACAAATCAGTTATCACATCTTCCAAAGCCAGCAATTCCTTAGTGCTAATGACTATACTGTTAAATTATCAACATATGCCCAAGTGAAAATTAAGATGTCATCTAAAATGTTATTATGCAAAACAATGGTTTTCAGCCTCTTCACTCACTTCGCTTATTTTGAGACACAGCACAGCTTCAGTCAGAGTTCAGATGAGGAGAAAAGTTGGGAATACTAATACCATTTTGGATACCCTCACATATATGAAGGGTGTGGGGGGGTGTCTGCAACAAAGAAATAAATTCTACCTTCACAGTGTAATAGGTATGTAAGCAAAAAGGTCATTTTTACAGTAATTCATCACCACCTAAAACTGCTCTATCATGATAAACGAAGAGTTACTTTTGCCTTTCTACTGATTACAAAATACTCTATATAGCAGACGAAGCTGTAGCAACAGAACTTTAGTTTCACTGCACCAATTTTCTCTTTAGTTAAAACAGTATCACTAATGACAACTGAACTACAAACCATTCTGAGATTTCTAGTCATCTATTTACAAAACATTTTCTGTAAATGACTGTTTCAGTTATTTAGCTTGCTTAAGAAAGGCAGGAGACAATGTAGATGTGCATTGATCTGTTTGAGCTCGGGCAACAAACAGGCAATTTTCTAGACAAACAATCTGATCTAGTTATTTCCTCATCCAATACTGATATTGGATATTTGAGTCTGTCTATCTCCTGCT